TACAACAGTATATACCATTTTTCAAAGTAAAACACTTGCACATCACGATTTATACCAAGTGACGTCACTTGTATTTAAAATTTCCAGAACGTCAACCTTAGAGTTCAAGTGTTCCTAACACAGCTAATATTACGAAACCCGTACGGAACTGCTCGATCTTTCATAGGCGTCAACATGGTACAATAATCAGAAAAATGTAATCATCATTATATTGGAAATTTTAGAATTATATTGATTAAATAACCAAAAGCATTTGTTATTATTAATAATACAAATTTTATGAAATAACTTTTTAAGACTAATATTCTACAAAATAATAATTTTAATTAATTATATTAGACAATTGTATGCAACTGATACGGAAATACTTAAAATTTTATTGACAGTTAAGCGTGTGGCAAAAGTGTATAAAGTGTTGCCGCTTTTTTAGAGTAGGAATTTAGTTTATGTTTGGATTTCTTACACAATTTGATCATCATCATCATCACAGTCATTAACATCTTAGTAGATGTGTTGTGGTTCATAATTGGGCTTCAGCAGCTCGGACAGTTTGATTGATAATATTTCTCCACTGGTCGCGGTCATCAGTTATATGTATTGCCTCAGTATACTGTGTATTGAGAAGCTTTTTAGTAATGTCCGCCCATCGCTGTGGAGATCTTCCGCGTTGGCGTTGAGTCTGAGGCCTTCCTTGGACCACCAACCGCTCCATTTTGTGATCACTTCGATGGATATGGCCAAAGAACTTTAAAATTCTAGAGTAAACGGTACTGGAGAGACGCTGATCCGGTTTAATTTCATCCAGAACCGAGATATTTATACGGCGAGCCGTCCATGGAATTCGAAGCAGGCGTCTCCATGTCCACATTTCAAAGGCGTCTATACGTCGTCGATCTGATTCTTTGACTGTCCATGTCTCGCATGCATAGTAAAATATGGAAAAGACCAGAGTTGAAACGAGTCTCTTTTTGTTTGTCATAGTAATGTGACAATCACGCCAGACCCCGTTTAGTTCACTCATTGCTGCTCTTGCTAGTTGAATGCGTCTTCTAATTTCGGATTCACAACTGCCTGTGTTGTTAACTAGAGCTCCAAGATATATCATAGATGAGACTACCTCGCATCCCGCAATAGTTTGGGTTTCAGGAAACTGTTGTTGGCGATCAATAACCATGATTTTGGTTTTGTTGTAGTTAACCATGAGTCCAAATTTAGCACTTTCTACCTCGAGTTTTTTTAATAATTTAGTAATTTCTTCTGGAGTAGAGGCTAGAAGTGTAGTGTCGTCTGCGAAACGCAAGTTAGATATCTTAACACCACCTAGGTTTACTCCTCCCTCCCAACCATCCAAAACTCGGCGCATTATGAACTCCGAATAGATGTTAAATAATAAGGGAAATAAAACGCATCCTTGGCGTACTCCCTTCTCCAAAGTGCATTTGTCAGACAGATATCCGTCCATTCGAATATATGCCAGGTTATCTTGATACAGTTTGTTAATAAGGTGAGTCAAGTGTTTAGGTACACCCATTGTCGTCAATATGTTCCATAGTTTGTCCCATCTAACATTATCAAAGGCCTTTGTATAATCGACGAAACATATAAATATCGGGATCTGGTATTCTCTGGCTTTTTCTATAATGTTTCGTACATTAAGGATTTGTTCTCTAGTACCTCTGCCCTTTATAAATCCAGCCTGCTCAGGTGCTATTTGCCAACTTATGAAGTTTTCTAGACGCCGTTGCAGTATGTAGAGGATCACCTTACTGGCGTGTGATATTAGAGCTAATAGCCTGTAGTTGTTACAATTATTTGTTGAACCTTTCTTATGAAGAGGTATGATTATGGTCTTTCTCCAATCCTCAGGCCAGACGCCTGTGTGCCATATTTCATTGCACAATCGATGTAATATTTTCACTCCACATTCCGGAAGATGCTTCAAGACGTCTGCAGTAATGAGATCATATCCTGCTGCTTTGTTTAACTTAAGTCTTTTTAAAGCGAATTCCACCTCGGAAAAAGTATGTCAGGTTCAGACTCAAAACTAGTGTGGTGTGTCTCTGTTAAAGGAGAATGGAAAGTGGAGGTCTGGCAGTCAGGTACAAACGCTGGCATCTGGTCCGTATTGGCGTATAAAGACTTACAATACGCCCTCCAAATATCAATAACCTTGTCCAAATCCGTCTGTACATTACCTTCATCATCTTTAATAGACCAAGATTTCTGCTTGAATTTACGTGTGAGTTGTCTGACTTTATCAAAGAGTTCTTTGGTGTTATTTGTGTCGGCGTGTAGTTGAATTTCTCTGCAGATTTTCTCTATATGCTTGTTTTTGTCTCGTCTACAAGCAGCCTGAATAGCTCTAGATAGCTGTCGGTACTGGGAATTCCTGAGAGGGTTCTCGATTCCAGCAATTTTAAGTTTTCTACGTTCTTCAACAAGGTCAAAAGTATCTGCAGACATCCACACTTTTTTTGGTCCGGTTGAGACGGCATTAGACTGTGCCTCGCAGTCAGTCAAGGTCTGTATCAAGGTATTTTTAAAAGATAACCAAATCTTTTCGAATCATGAGTGACGATAGTTGGTAAAATATTTTCGAATCTTTCATTACATTGGATTTTAAATTGTTGTGTATCTTTTATTTTTGATATCCTCTTGTTTCGGATCCTAGCACATGCCTTGAATTTTTGCTTTAGCGTTGCAACAAGAAGTTGGTGGTCAGAGCCGCAGTCAGCGCTAGGTCGTGTTTTACATTGGCTAATAGTTGTTTTCCAGCGATGTTTAATCATTATGTAATCGATCTGATTTCGGTGTCGTCCGTTAGGTGAGATCCAAGTGTACAATCTTCTGGGGTGGTGCCTATACATAGAGTTCATTATTGTCAAGTCATTGTCAACGCAGAACTGGATAAGGCGGTCTACCCTTGAATTGCGTTCACCTATTCCATATCTACCCACAATATTTCGTATATGTTCGACAGCCATAGTAACAATTTGATCATAATATAATAAATATTAATAAATTGTTTTTATAAATACATATTAAATTTAGATTAATAGCTTTAAAAACTAATTATTTTTGTGTATTGTGATTGTGATATGCTAAATCAAATAAATAGTTTGTAGAAAGCTGACAAGCTTTCATATAAGATAGATTATTTAGAAACAAGAAATAGTGGCGGGAAAATTTTACTAATAAAACCCTAAAAGAAGTAAGTTTAAAATTTAGAATATATAATTTTGTATTAAAATGGTTTCTTATGTATTTTAATGTGTTGCAGTAGTCTTAAAACTAAGTGTATTTACTGTTAATATAAGTTTGACAAATACTTGACATTTTAAAAATTCCTCACTTACTATTCCGATGTTTTGGCAACGCTGTGGGGTTCTGACGACGTAAATCTCGAATGACGTGCAAGCTTTTTTATATGAAAAATGCTATACATAATTCGTGGGAAACTAGGTAAAATGCAATAAACTTTTATCTATTCCAAAGGAAGTTAAGATTGGTAGTATTATATCAACAACCTAACAAAAAAAGGGAAACTTAAAAAAACAGTGAATTGAAAACAGCGGAAACTACACTACTGCTAAGTTTACGCTGGCCAAAAATTTAAAAGAAATAACTGGTACTGCAGGTAAGAATGGAAGTTAAGATGGATATGGCAAAATCTTAAATCCTAGCACCACCTATAAAAAAACTGGATCTGTTAAAAATTTTGAATATATGATACTTACTTTTAAATCACGATGAATAATAGGAGTCTTGCAATGATGTAGTCGAGAAACTGCTTCACATGTATCACAGAATATAGTCAAAACTTCGCTTTCAGTAAAAGTTGCCTTTCCTCTACTCTTCATCATCCCGAAGACATTCTCTTGGCAATAAGGCATGAGCAACAGTACTTCATACACCCCCCCTCCAGTCGCAGTTAAACTCGAGTCTACATATCCTATTATGTTCTTGTGTCCACTTAAACTGCTCTAAAAATCGACAAAGAAGTTCAAACACACAAATAAACTTTTTTGAATCATTTAAATTCCAATTCAATGACAATAAAATACAAGATAATGACTATTTCTATTTATTTGCGTTTACAGTAGTGTGATTCAGTCAGTACAACTTTTATTAAAATTTTATTACAATGACTTAATTCTAACTATCATGACATAGCTCCAAAACGAACAATTTAAAAATCCTTTGAAATAATCTTATCTCAAATGTTGCAGTAATTTTAATAAACTAATAACGTTTATTATTAGAATTTTATTATATAATTATTATTAAGGAGCATCAAAGTTTCTTAAAAAGGATGAACAGTTTAAATAAACATTAAATTTTCAATTATTTCAGTTAAGATTTAAATTTCAATCGGTTTGCATCAGGTGCAATTCGTAGAACTTATACGGGAAAAAGCAGATATTAAAAGTTTTGCCTGAATCGTAGCTAACCACCAATAATGGAGACAGTACGAGAAAGTTGAAGTAAAGGGCTTGGGTTAGCTGTGACCTTATCATAAATCATGGTAGGATATGTCATCAGCATATATTCCATACTACACAGGATCATTTCTGTTACTCCAGTGAATAATTGGTTAAGTTGATTTTTTGCCAAAATGGGTTTAGTGCACTAATGAGTACAGAATGACTTCTCGGATGGGGTGAATAACTAGTTAAGGTGTAAGCGCACTCTAGCCACGAATATACGCATGTGTATTTTTGGCCATCTTTGAAATTGATGTACTCTTTAGATTAAGTCAACTTAACTAAAAACATAATAAAATAATGTCTTATGGTATATATGTCATATAGTAAATAAATGTAAATTGACCTGCCCAGCTATGACCAATAATTATTTTCTGTGTTTAACCAGTTAACTCGATTTGACGTATTTTGGTCCACTGTGCATAACTGGTTACAGTGGCGGCTCGTGGCTTGAGAGACAAGGTCGGCAAGGTATTTTTTGTCTCCTCAGATAGATATACCGTCTAATAAAGACTTCAATCTTCATAGGAGATTTTTTGTTTTCTTGTTTTTTGTTTTTTTTTGTTTTTTCCTTTAAATTTAGAACCTAAACATGTTTATAAATTAACTCTAGTCTACGTTGTTTGGAAGTAGCAAAATGGGTAATAACGTCATCGTAAAATTTATTAGAGTTTTGGAGAGATTTTAAAAGTTTTTTTTTTCTATTAACATTTGAGACACGCTTGACATTCTCTCTTGTTTCATGGTATTTCGACAATAAGTTTTGATTCTTTTGAGGTAGGAGAAATCTCGTTCATTTGAGGCAGACATTGGTGGTAATGAGAGAATTAATGACAATAATTTATTAATTTCGGTAACAGTTTGTTGTAATGAATTACAATATATAAAATTATACATATCTTGTAACTTATCCCATCTTCGGAAAATATTTGGATCAGCATATAAAACTTTTAATTCATTTTCTAATTTTATTTTATTAAAGAATGATGGATAATTTTTAATCAACCTGTCTAATAAATATCTTGGAAATTCTTTGGCGTAACTTTTAAATTTTGAATCGTCAAAGAGGTCAAAAATTTACAAATCTTCAAAATTCGAAAAACGAGTATCTATTTTCATAATAATAGTATCCAAAATTTCAAAATATACTCGTTTTTCGAGATCTGTTTCTATGTCATGCCTTTGTCTTTTTTTGGGGGGTTCGGAAATATCAACCGAGTCCAAAACGTCACTGCGTATATACTGGAAATTACTATCATTACGAAAATCTGACTGAGATTTTGCACCAGTCTTGTTATTCTATTTTTTGGAATGAATAATGTCAGTTAACTGATTCTGAACAACATTGAATATCAAATCGGTTTGGGTAAACACTTTCTTAAAAATATTTAAAAGTATGTTAAAATAGTAATCATTTAATAAAGTTTTCAAACCGATTGCTTTAAGGATCGAGATATCATCACTTTCAAAATCGTCACATTCAATAATAAAATCAAAAACTTTCAAAAGCTGTTCACGAAATATGCTACAGTGAAAACTGACCAAGATTTAAAATTCCATCGCGTCTGACAAACTGTTGGCATTTTTTTCGAAACAAACCGTTCTAAAACATTAGTCCGTTTAGGCAAGCTTGAGAAAAATGAAGCAAATCTGCTTAAACTGGCAAAAAAAGACGACATTCTTTAATTTTTTTACATGTATCTTGCAAAACTAAATTCATTCTATGCGCATGACAATGAGTAAATAAAGCTTGCGGTGCAGTAGTTTTAACTTTTGCCTGGAGACCATTTAATTCACCAGGCATCACGGCAGCGCCGTCATAAGTTTGCCCTACCAATTTATTTTTGATATCAAAAAATTTTAATTTGTTCTTTAAAACACCAAAAATATGTTCTGCCTTATGGCTTTTACTTACGTCTGTAAAACCTAAAAACCTCTCATAGATATTACCACGTAACGCGTATCGAACAACAATTGATAATTGTGAATGACATGATATGTCGGTAGTTTCATCTACTTCTAGTGAAAAGCAAATGGTTTCCTGAATCTCATATTCAACAACGTTACTCAAAATGTAACTAATTGATTATTTTAATTCATTCTGGATTGTTTTAGATACACCTCTAAATGTCTTCGAATCAGAAAGTAAATTAGAAAATTCCAAATCGTATTTCTTAAACATTTTTATTAGTTCTCTATAATTATGTTGATTTAACGAATGCTCCGATTCATCGTGTCCCCTAAAAGATAATTCCTGACAACTTTAAAAAAATTACAATATCAATGAAACGACGTAAAACTGCGTGATTATTTTTTACAATTTCGTTATGTTTAGCATTTTCACGTTGGGCATTATCTAATGAAGCATGGATATTTTGTTTTCCAAATAAATCTAATTTAATGCTGGAAGTATGATCTTTCGAAATATCATGTTTATGTAAAGCCCTAAATAATTTTTTTAAATTATCGTAACCAGATTCACACCACGGATTTTGATGTTTGCCCCTATTTGTCGATACTAAAATGCGAGGCCAACAAAAAAGTTTGTTTTTTATTTCACTCCCGGTAAGCCATGAGTAGTTGCTGTACCAATTATCTGAAAATGATCTATTACTTCCCTTACCCGCACTAATATTTATAAGCCTGGACATTTTAGGCAAAGGACGCCCCTTATTTTTAATAACAATTTGTTCTTCGTATGGAATTGATGAAAACCCATTATGAAAAATATAATTTACAATATCAGACTTATCAATACTTACAGTTTCTCCCATGGCTTGCATTTTTTAGGTGTTTACTGAATTTGTTTACACTTTAATTAAAAAAAAACTTCTAATATGTCAAAAAAACCCTTTAACCGTTAACTATTTACGGCAGACGTAACGTATCACAGTATTACTTTAGAAAATAAAAATAAATCACAAAAAGATAGGCTAGTTCGTGCACTGAACATCACTTCAGTTTACTACATATATATGAAATAACATTTCGTCCCACGCTCGCAATGTACAGTTCGCGACCAATAACCAATCCAAATGAAACATCGGCAGATTTAAATTTGGCGGACTTGGTAATTAATTTAGTCTGGTCGAATTCTTTTAAAAACCATGAATAAAATTTAGTCTTTATTATCTCACAGATATTTTTTTAGTTCACAAAAACAAATGACATCAACTGATTACCTGCCACAATTATTTATTGAAATACTGAATAAATTAAATATTAAAATAATCTATAATATCTATAAAGATGTGGGTCGGCACTGCCGACCCTGACCGGCCGCCACTGCTGGTTAACTATAATATAGTTATTACATCATGAAATTTTCTAACTAATTTACGATTTAAAGCAGATATCTATCTAACAGATACAGCGTAGTTTATATACTAGTCGTTAGATAGCGTTGTATGTACATTTATTGAATTTTTAAAGAACTCTATTCGGGGAACTACAAGCTAATACAACAATATTATTATCGAGGTTAAGTTCAAAGTTTACATTCATTTTTATTTTTATTCTGTACCCGATACATTAGTTCTTCATAGTATTTCTGCATTGTGTTTAAAAGATGTATTCTAGATCAACATTTTTACGAGAATTAAAAGAAAAAGCTTTGACAAAAAGATTGTGCTGCCTGTTTTTTATTCAGACAAACTAAAAGACAATACTGATAGCGATTTAATGCAAGGTAAGGTACTTATTTAGGTCTCTACAAAACAGTTTTAGAACAGTTCTTTGTTTTAGATGTGGATGCCGCAAATACATCATCAGTTAATAACAATGTTGCCATTGATGTGTTAGAAGATTTCGATTCAGATGATAGCATTGTTGATCCGATTTATTTACCACGACCCGGATATTCAAGCTCTTCAGATGAAGGAACCTTCAACCCTAAGCGGACGAAAAAAACAAATCTGTGCCAAGAAGACAACAATTGAAGAAATTCATGTAACACTGAAGTTGTTGAGGTAAGAACTAATAATAAAAAATATATTAAAAAGAGGCGATCCACACGTCAAAGAGCTGAATGCAAAAAATTGAGAAATTTAGGAAAATCATATAAACTGAAAAAGGAAAAATAATTTCTGAAAGAACAAAGGGTATATTAAAATCATGTAGAATGAAATGCAATGAGAGGATAGCAGAAAATGATAAAAAAAATTTGATTTGAAAACTATCGGAATTTAGAAAGTAGAAATAAGAGGACGAGTTACGTTTGTTCTTTGATAGAAATAAATGACAAAAAGACTAAAAAAATATTACTAATCCAAAAAAAGACAGGTCATGCAGTTGCTCTTACCATTTAATAATTGATAAACAAAAAGTATGCACATATTATTTTCAAAAAATATTGGGTGAAACAAAAGGTTTTGTCCAATAAGTAATAGAAAAAAAAAGAACAATTAGACCAACGAGGTATGGCCTCGCCTTCAAGTAAATGGAGCTTAAAAGATTTGCAAGATGTCAAGTACCATACTTAGTTATTTCCCATTTACGAG